CAGTTGTTTCACTTCACTTCACAGTCCTTACGTTATAAGCTACTTGAGATATAGGGTGTCCTAACGAAAATTGTACAAAGGTGCTCAGAATACACCTAATATTTATATATTTTTTCTTATGAAAACGTTGCTGATGCTGCTGGTAAAACTGACTTGACTGTAGCTATTTTTGACCAGCAGATTTAATTCTGGTTCTGGTAATCATTGTTTGTTCAATTGCCAGTTAATTATGATCAGACGATTATTAAATCAAAGGAAATTTCTTTGACTTTAATTCAATAAAGACATGTGCTCGAAGGTATTAGAAGGCAGGCATACAAACAACGTTAACTGCAATTATTGATATTTGAAAATGTGATATATTTTCCGGGCAATAGATTGCAAAGGGATGTTTATATAAATTGTTTCTATCTTCACCAGATTTGAGGCGCAAGATCTTTGACACAGTGACTTAACTGAACAAATTCAGTCAATTTTTTATTCAATTTCATTTAAAAAATATATAAATATCATTAAAACTCCTTTGAAAAAGGCACTTTTTGACTAAAGCCATTCGTTTGCTTGTTTTGATTCAAAATACTCGATACTCGTTCCAGATGGAAATACATAGAAATACTTAATTCATACTACGAAATATTATTAATTTAATTCAAAAGAAATTCCTGGGTTCCAGTCAATTTTATTGTTTATCATTTGAAATGTTACAAATAGGTTTCGGTGTTTTTCTCCACCATCATCAGTTTGTCTAAAATATACATTCATAGTCGTCATTACTTTAAACCAAGAGCTCTGTTGTAAAAAAATATACATACTAAACTACAAATTACAAACATATTAAAAGTATATTAAAATCGTTTGAATCTCTTGGGATTACAAGTGATGAGTCAGGACAATCATGTTCGGGAAAAGACTAAAATTTATTGTTTAGAGATTTAAATTTTATTTACATGTACGGCTGTTTCTATCTTCATATTTGGCAAGCCATTGAAAAATCTTTGCTTCGTCCAATATCGAGCGAAAGAATAAAAAAACGGTTTAAAATATTTGACATTTTTCTTTGCATTCTGAGGATATCACATGGTCTTCATTTCTTCAATATACCAGGTGTTTATATTTTATGCAGTTCGTTTAATTAGTGTATGATATATAGAGCTAAGATTGTCTGTGTCTGATCTAAAATTCATTGCATTCTGATGTTTTTTAATTTGTATCATTCATGGATTCTTCTCTTATTATAATTGTCTTCATTGATTAATCTTTTTGTGTTATTAAAATCAAAACTATGTAACATTGTATACACAATGAATATTATTAAAGTGATCTTCCATATTGTAAGTACAGATTTTCAACTGAAACTCAAACTTATCTAAACTGAGCACGTTTAATAAAAAATGGAATTTAAGACAATAAACAGTGCGGTTTCAGAAGGAACAAAGCTCGAAAAGAACCAAATCAGAAACTTGGGAGTGCATACACCCAACATCAAATTACAGCTTGCAGTTTTCCAAGGGCAATGATCTTCGAAATAAAAGGTTTATATTATATGAGGTGAACCTACACTAATCCTTCTGAGAAGAACGGCAAGTCGATTAACTGTGATCAGCTCTCTTGGGTTGAATCAAAATTTTTATTCATTAAAATCCGTTTTTTCTTATTTTTATATCGTGCATCTTCAAGGGGGCTAGTGGGATTGGTTGGTGCGTCTGATCTGACCAGTGATATATTTGTGAAGGAATTCATATTTTTTATAATAAACGGAATAAAAGGAATAGCAAATAAAAAATAAAACTACGATCAAGATAATTGCATTTCTTACTTGCTCTTCTTTAAACAGCGATGACTGTGGGGCGTGAATCAGATTGAAAATGTAATTACATGAGTTTTTGAAACCTCAAAACAAAAGTCTACATTAAATAAGAGATTGATTGAAGTCAACACTTCTTCGTTGCTGCACCTGTCTGTTAGGCTATGCAAGAGTCTCAAAAATCAACTCAAAAGTAATAATACCATAATTTTCGTACTTACTTTCCATCAAGAAAATTAAAAAATCTACATGTATTAAAATATACATAAACCATATGTGTACATAAATATATTTCTAATCAATTTGCAATAAGAATTTAGACTGGATTATTATATTGCAACATAAACATAATTTTTTTAGAGTCAGCATATAAAGGGTGTTTTTAAGAAAGTCCAAATTATTAAAGGTAATCTATTGAGACAAAAAAACAAATTAGTATTAGTAAATGTCAGCAAAGTAACAGTTTCTGAGATACGTAAGCTAATTATTGTTTATCTTCAGTTTTTATATATCTATTAGTTTATAGTTGGCTGATGAGAGGCGGTCCTATAATATGGCCTGCTAGATATCCTGATTTAGATCCGATAGATTTCGTTTCCTGATTATATTTGTAATCATCAATTAGTCTATAATAGATGTGTGACAGCTCCAAATAAATAAAAAATGTAATAAAATCCAACCTAATCAGGTGATTTTAGGAAAGTTCTCAGAGACACAGTCCATACACAAGCTGTCGTGCTTACTTTAAAATGGAAAAGGAGTATTTTGAACGTCTTATGTATCTCTAGTTCTTCGGTTTCATGCAAGCTTCTTTCTTTGTTTGTACATAACAATTAAATTATAAATACGAGCACATTAATGCTGCAAAAAAGATCGTTCATATACATGAATTTGTTACTTTTCCAATTTATCTTTAGTATGACGTTCTAGTTTAATGTGATCTGTGGCTTAAAGACCTCTTTAAATGTTCCACAGTAAATTAAAGGTTTTAAAAGCAAATTTTTGAATGAAAGCAACTGTAGAATGAAATGAAAAAAACGGTAGTTTTCATTAAAACTCAACTGACTTCTAGATGTCTTAGATCGCTTTAGCAATTCGGCTGTTTCTTCCAGATTACTGAAGTAAGAATTCTGTTGAGATTCTTATTTTTAATTCAATTTTGACAAATTGCCTGCTGCAGTTGTATAATTTCAAAGTTATTTTTAAATAATTGAGAAAAAATGCCTCGAAAATAATGACTATAACATGTAGCCTGCCCGTGCAATCTTTCTGGTGAAAACTAGTTAAGAAAATTGGAGACACTTTTAGGCGAATATTAATTAATTAATCCGTTTAATCAACATTAATGGCACATTAAGAAATTTAGGGACTTTATTGTTTTCCTTACTCTGGTATTTTATTGCAGTGGTTTTCTTTTCTGTACAAAAGTACATACAAACAAATTTACACTATGCAGCTATTCAACATTTCTGAGAACGTGCTACTTTGAATGTAACTATAACATAACAAAAATGCATTTTTCTCTCTGGTATAAGTCTAAGAGCCTTGTACATATTGCAAAGACAAGACACAATTTACAAAAAAAACTGTTAAATAATAAGCACTATAATTTGCCATTTTTACAAATTGCCGAGGTTGTGTAATCCCCTTCACAACACGCTTTCATTTCATTCATGATTTTAATAAACTCGGCGGCATTGATTATTGTTGTTGCCATGAATGAAGTGAATTCCATTGCTGCATGCGAAATTATGCAGCTGGATTGTTATTTTTAGATTTGTCTTGGTGCGCTTTGTTTTATTCTATGGATGATGGCAAACGTTATTAGATAGTGAGCATTCCAGAAGAGTAACTCGATTCTTGTTGGCAAATATTTTAAATGTGTTTTGAATTATATAAGAAGTAAAATATCTATAGATACAGAAAATCGTCTACAGAACAATAATTGAAATTTGAAAAAATTATAAAATGTATTGATTTTAATTAATAAGAAAAATGTCGGTTGAAAAATTATTCATAAAAAAATTGACATTTCTTTGTAAAAATGCATTCATAGATAGCTGTTTTTTATTCACGTATACGTTATTCAGGTAACTGCAAAATTATTTATTATTATTTTTTGTCTATACGAGAAAATACAACGTTCGGAAAAAAACTGTCAAAGAAACGGGATAGTAATGGCTGTGACATGGGAGTAATGAAGATCTTTGAAAGAAGGTTACTAAAGAATTGACAGAAAAACAATAAAAAGTAAAAATTGATCAGAGTACAAAATACAGTTTTCCAGTGTAGTTTCCAACCAAAATTGGATATTGGGCGTGACACTTTCCTTAAACTAAACAATAAAATCTTTTTGGGCACAAAACATAGATGCACCCAAAATCCTTCATTTGACATTTTGTATCGAGATTTTGTGTTTTTGAAATGACAGAATTTTAGTAGAAATTTTTTAAATGACAGAAGCTTTCAGTCTTTTATTAAAACCTGCTGCATTTATTTCTTAGTAAAGCATTCTTTATCAAAATTTAATCAAGAAATCATCCAGCGGCTATAAGTAAGAAAATACCTAAAATTTGTAATAAAGAATTGAGAAAATTCGGCCTTCAACAGACACAACATTTGACGCAGAACTGAAGAAAAATAGAAGTTTAATACTTCACAGATGTAGCACTAAACGGAACTTCTAGACAGAACCAACGGATTTACTAGTGTTCAATTAGATCCAAAATTATTTCCAATATAATTCTTTCATGTACTAGCCAAATATCGACAATATCTGGAGGAACATCCTACTGTGTTAAATAATGTAATACAAATGTCCACATAATGTTTGGAGCCTCGGATGGGGGTTTCACTCAAAAACACTGCGAAAATTGTATGCATAATACATAAATATTACTTACCTTTTCAGCCAAGAGTGTCTCCTCCACATCTAACCTTCTCATCTCCTCAGAACCTTGCATCAGATTTTGCGAGTTGTACAATCAAAAAATGAAACCATAATATTATCGGCCAAGTAAGTAAAACTTCGAAACCAGAAAATTAAAAACAATCGAACCATGTATTTTTAATTCTTTTATCGGTTCTTATGAAGACTGTGTGATCGCTCTCATCAATTTATAATGATGATAAATCGAACACTCACGAGTTAATAAAACAAAAATATAGTAGGAAAGGTTCAAATAAAAAAACCAAATTACCTAAAAATATGTCTTTATTCAACCACTATTGGGTTGTCCGTATCACAGCAGTAGTTGCTAACAATTGGCTGACATTTAACATTGCTATAGTCGCACAAAAATTATGAACACAATAAGACACTTTTCCTTCAACCAAAAAACGAATTAACTCAAGCATTGAAATAACTGATTCATCGAGTACAATCGGCCTTGCAGGTCTTAGAGGAACTCTCAACAGTTTCCTCCATTTACATTGATGTAATGCTTGAATTAAGATTGAAATGGAAAAGTTCCGACTCCAGGTATAAGTACAACTACTAAACTGCAAACAATCATATTGGAATGCATGTATTCATCTGGTACTGCTTTCATGGAAATGTCTAGTCGTTTAACTCAAAATGACAAATTTATGGTTGGTTGGGCAGAGATGATGAATAAATGCATTATCAATATTTCTTTTAAAACAGAACTTGATAGGCCAGTCTTTGATATTGAGGACGTGGTTATGAATTCAACTATTAAAGCTATTTTACAAATAAAATGAAATTAACCATCGTGAGTCTAAAGTGAAACCTACTAACTACAAATAGTAAGACGACCCTGTTTTTTTTTTAAACATGTGCAACTAAAGAGCTTTTCCTAATTTTGGTAAATACTCCTAGGATTACTTATGCAATCAACATTTTTTGTGTTTACGATCAATTAACATTCCTTGAACTCAAAACACAAGAATGCAAAAGATAAGCTACTTACACAACAATGTCTATTATTTCAGTGTGTATTTAACTAACAAACCACTTTGGAATTTTAATAAATTACTGGAAGGCTTTTTTAAGCATCAACCCTTCACTGTGCAGTTTTGAGTGGTTCGCAAAATATACCTAATCCTTCTTAGAGCTAAAGGCCTTAGTTTGAATTGAACTGTAAATTTTGAATTGAAGTGAAGGGCGAAAAAAGTTGCTGAACTACTAGTTTCACTTAGAGCATAACGGAGTTAATTGTAACTTAAAGAACTAACTATGAACTGTTAAAGTATGGGTGCCATTACGTACCTTTAGAAATCATCAATATTTGCAACCGTATGGTATGTTACCTTCAGTAAATTAGAAAATTATTTTCATTTAAATTAGTTACCTACTACGAGCAATATAATTGACCTAGGACAAAGCGCTTTCCTTTCTTAACTTCTCTAATAATTGCGTGCTGTTTATGCACAGCTAGGAAAGGCTTTTGCATTTATTTATTTGGTTTGGAGTATTTTTTTAATTAATCACGTTTTCGCAAATGCTTTTAGGCGTATAGCTTATATTATATGAAAATGAAAAAAAACCTTTTGCAAAATGAATCATACACCCAATAGCCATAATCCATAAGAAATTAGAAATGTCTTGCAGCAATGACTTAAATTGATTTCACAGAAAATAATGGAAATATATATATAAAAAACTATAAAACATGATTTATTTTGATCCAGTCAATGTATTTGATTGAAACAGTAACAATAATCTATTGTGTATAGATGACTCATTTTGCATATTTATAATAATAACATGTTTCCCGAAATGTGTTAATTAATTTTGCTTAAAACCAAAACTCATCCGCTCTTAACCGACCTCTTCAACACCCAGTATCATTAGGTGTTTTCACTTTATTTTATTGATCAATCGTGAGGGACGAACACAAATGAGTTAGTCATCAGGAACGACAATGGACAAACACACATTTAAGTTACATAACAGAATAGAATCGAAAATATTTACGTTTAGCCTAATCCTACATCTAAAGTCATCATTACCAAAAAGCCCAGGACTGCGCCCCAAGTGGCCAATTTTCCATTTTCGCTGAAAACAAAAAAAATATTTTTGTCTGTTGCTAGTAAGTATGAAAAAATTACACTTTCCACCTGCATTTATTGGCAAAGCACTGAAGTTCATAAAATACATTCAACATTTGGAAGCTGAATATAACAGCTTAGACCTCGGAAGCATATGAGTTTAGAAATGGACAACGTCCCATAAACAATCTTATAAGTTACAATGTTGCAAGCCTCATATTTCAATAGTGTGAACAGCAAGAATTACGTAATATCTGGGAGGGTCCAAAAGCAATGTATATGACAACATAAGACTACTAAAAAAACATGAGACTAATTTAACAGACTCTGCAATGATGTCATTTCAGATTACTGAAATCCTTTAAGGATGCAATATCATTTTTAATCCTTGTAGGTTGAGAGTATTTTCCATTTTCTCTGTACAAGGTGTCTTAGTACTTTAGCAGAAATGGTATTTTACTATGGTACTTTAGTAGAAAAGCTACTATCTATAGGGTTCTTATACGAAGCATCTATTCTCACACGCTGTAGCTAAAGGTCGTCAAGTAAACTAGCAATCTAAAAATAAAGCATGAAGTTCTACATGCTAATGTTATGTTTTTAATTTTTCAAATTTATTATTTCGATGCAGTTGCTATATAAGCAAACGCCATAAAAGGATGTTTTGTTCTAAATATGCAAAATTAATAATTTTCTAAAATCAGTTTTGAATACATTTCTTGGGCACATTCACTACAATTCTTTAGCTCCAAGACCATTACATAAAAGTGGATGTCTGAGAATTTTATTTTAAGTTTCAGCACAACCTTTCAAATCAAACGAGTTTGAAATCCTACGAATTCTGCAAAAAATACTGAAATATAAAAACTTGATTACGAGTTAGTTTTATTAGACTATAATGAACCTCGCGTTAAATAATTAAATATGTATTTATCTTAATATTGTTAATTAGTTCTGTATTCCATTAACCGAAATTCTCCTAAAAACACGAAAAAAAGAACGGTACAAATATTAGGTGGTGGTCCATTGAAGTTATTGCCATAATAAACACTACAATTATTTATATTCGGTTTTATTTCATATTTATCACCATGAGAAAACTTGTAATTTATCTCCCTAACGGAGCCCAGATCGTAAAAATTCCAAGAAGTAAGGTTTTATTGCATATTTAATAGACTGCGTAACTGAGTTATCAAAATATTTCGAAAATCAGTGGTGTCTCCGGTTTAATATGAAGAAAAAAAGCTGAACTCAAGCATGCCGTCGAAATGGCAAATTTCTCAAGAAATCGTTGATAAAAAACACTAAATGAAATTAAATTCACTGATCATTATTGATTAGAAAGATACACAGTCTAAACATTCCCCTTGCAACACATTGATGTTAATAATAACGTCCATTTTTATAAATTGTTCCTCTGAATATATGTGGATGAGTTTTAATCTCTACAAGTTAGTAAATTGATCTGCTAATGAAAAAACAGAAACCAGCGTTTCAATGCTATTTGTTAATTTACTGTTACTAAAAATATGTACATAGTAGAAACCGTAGTAAACTTCAAAATTAAAGAAATTAACAACAAATTAAAATACATCATTTGCAGCTAACTTGACTTTCGTATAAAAATTAAACAGCAAAATCATAACAAAAACTAACATATAAAATCAAAAGTCGCAAGGTATTATCCTTTTGGATTATCGTATTGGTCGATTACACTTACAATTGTTATCACTTAATCAGACAATAGTCATAGACAAATCAGAAAGCAACGCTAAAAGACGTAGCTCTAATTATGTTACTGAATAAATGACCGGAAGAAAATATACAACAAAAATAATATAAAACACACAAAATACTAAATTGTATCACTGATACAAAAACCAATGCTAATTAAAAAATGAACAACAATAAGCTTCACACAAGAAGAGAATATAGAAAAATATTATCACAGACGCCTGTAAAATCGTTTCTTTGTCGCAAGTGATTTATAATATAACATATGACTTTAACTCGGAATGTTGATTGGAGATTGTCAAATATAAAAGCAATAAGTTGAGAATCTTAATATACATTCATTTGGATAGAGTATTGCGACCCCATAAACAGTCAGTAGCTTGCAAACTTTCTTTGAGCATTCATTCATTCAAGACATAAACATTTGCTTCATCATTTCTTCATATTTTGGTCAGTTCTTTAAACTGAAAGCTTTCGCACATATTAATTTTTTAATGCACAAAATAAACTTAGCATTTTTCAGATTTTCAGCATTTGCCAATAGTTAAAACCTCACTTGGTGATTATTAATAAAACCACTGTTTTAACTAATACGATGCGTGTGTGTAGTGTATAGAAAATGTTATACATTTGCTTTCATTGCTTGAAACTTTGCTTAAAATAATCTGAAAATTACTTCATTAGAATAACCTCAAGCTCCTAATAAAAAATTCAATTATCTATTGATGAAAAATAATATTCCGGACTAACTATAAATAAGAAAATGACAAACATTACACTGTGGTCGTCTTGTTTAAGTAAACTTTTATTTATGTAAAACGGTACGTCGGAAATTGTTGCGCGATGAATCACCATTCTATATTGCCAAACCGTTTTTATTTCTATTACATTTCCGGAAACAGGCCTTGCATGGAAAACTGAACTAGCAGAAAATTCAGCTGAGTAAAATTATTTAAAGATATAAATAAAACATACTGCCTTTGCTACACGATGGAATGTTCGAAAATAAGTCGTTAAATTCTATGTACGGCAGTTTTCTGAAATTATGGCTATGAATTATTCACGTCTTGCGGCGAAAGAAAACCTCAGTTTGGTTCTGGAAAATTACAACTATGTGTGTTGGAAACATCTGTATGCTTTTGCTATTTAATAAATATGATTATACTGCACTAAGCCGTATGTTGCCAATTATTGGTTCCGCTTATGTTAATAGATAATTGACCTAACGCAAGAATCGATTACAAGTTATGCCTTGCAGCCCAAGAATTTGTACACAATTTTCAATCTGCTTTACATAAAAATTGCACATTTTAATTATTTAATCCTCAGTACTTATTTTCAATGTTTGTTCACTTTTCAATTCTAATTAACGGACGGATCATGCATATTTCATATGATAATCTTATCATTTGCAACTGAATATACCTACATAGAAATAAATTAATTAATTGCAATTCAACATTCCTAAGCGAGCTGAAGTTCAGATTCCGTATTTAGCGATTCTCTAATCGTGACTTAAGTCTCTTAAGAAGTATCAAGGGAAGATCATCTCGCGTTAAACGGAACTAGCTGGAAAATGATTGAAATGAAAAAATGAATTTTTAGGTAAGTAAGTTTTAATTTTAATTAAGTGCTACAAATCTGGAGAATGGTAGATTTCCACTATCTAGTAGATGAAAAAACATTAGTTCTAAATCGTTATTAGCAATTTTCACATTAAATATATACAAAAAACATGGTTTCAGATTGATCCGAATCCTCAACTGCAAAGAACTTACGTGATCTACTGTTCGGCATCACTGTAATGCAAAATTTGGTCGACTTGAAAAACACGCAGAAAACGCATTTAAAAAATATATATCCTCTATTAGTTCATAAACATAAAGTAAATGCCAAATATTGGGAAACGCAGTCAAACAGAATTTCTCAAAAAATTGAACCAATAGAGGTTACAGTAGGAGCAGAAAGTTATTTGTACATAACGGGCGTTTTTTTGGAGGTATACAACTTCAAATTGAATTACAACTCATAAAATTCATGTTAAGCTCATGGCACTGGCTTTATCGAAAATACAATTGTATGCCATGATAGCGCAAATATGATTTGTAGTGATGAGCAAAGCTGTCATGGAGGCAAGACCGCGACTTGCATAGTCTTGGTCTTAGTCTTGCAGCAAGACCCTTGCAAGTCTTGCTTTTATATAAGCCGCAAAATGAAACGGAATTAATTTAATACTAATTAAATTGAAAGATAATAATCAATACGAAAAAAGTCAAATTTGCGACCACTTTGATTTCACTAAACCATAAAAAAAGCACATCAATCAGTGAGTTTTTCTGGATATAACGGCATTTCAATAATAACTTTCAGATTTTGGACTTTCGTCCCTCCAAATTCGGCAATTTATTTCGAAAATCGCTGTGCAGTTCGCCAAACTCACCGTGCGCTAAGTTTATTTTACGGTCGACATAATCGTTTTTGGCTCAATGGTTGCGTAAATAAACAAATTTGCCGGACTTGAAGGGACGAAAATCCAGCAGCCATTAAGACCCCTTTATATCCAGAAAAACTCACGGTTTTTGTGCACTATCGTCTAGAAGAAGTTTGGAAGTGGTAGAAAATTGGACTTTGAGATTGCTCTTTATTCGAGCACTTTATACCCCAAACCATAGTTAAGCCATAATGCCATACTCCCTTTCTCAATAAAGCCAGTACCATGACGTTAACATGATTTTAGTGAGTTTTATTTCAGTTTAAAGTTCTCTAAAAAACACCCTTTACAAACATATCATAAGTTCGGTCTTAATCACAACAGAATCCTAAAAAGTTGTTCTCGAAATTTATGTAAATTTACCCCCTAAATAATTGTTTTTGGCCCCTTAGCAATAAATATGTGTTAATATTCAACGAAGACTGGGGAGAGAAACCTGATAAGGAGGGTGAAAATACACAGAGTAAAATACATTCTTTGGTGTCGCATTAGGCTTAAAAATTTGTATTATGAAACTTTTGACAGGAAAAATATTATTTTTCCAGAATTTTTTCTTTATCATCCATTAAGAGTTGCTTAAAGTAATTGGACTCTCACCTACAGTTTTACCGAGTCAACAAAAGTGATCATTAGGAATAATAATTTAATTCCTTACCTACTCCTCAGTTTCTTCTGTCTTCAGTTTATTGCAAATTGTGACTCTTTCCTGATAAGCAAATATAATTGCAATCTTAAACACATCAAAATAAAGTGTTTTTATTTTTCATATTATTTTGTTAAAGCGAATTTGAACACTGGCCCCTAAACCCATTGACTATTCCTGAGAATCTCGCACATTTTCAAACGCCACTAAAAGTGTTTACTGACACAGTGCCAAAAATAACGGGTTATCGTTTTCGGTAAACCATCAGAATGCCCCAGACCACCCAATACTTTTTAACACGTGCTGAAGAATGAAGAGAAATAAATAAATAGCTGGGCTTCGGTCGCACTTAGATCCTCTTAAAAATTAGACGGGTGCGAGTAGGCGATTCTTCTGTTATTCGAATCTTATTATACGATTCCTAGTAAATTGCGTAAGTGTAAAGTGAGAGACAAACATGCACAAGAATGGACGTAAATAATGCATGCCAGAAGTAAGCTTCAAATTATAACAGGAAAACAAAAAATTGCCTATTTAAGTTCATTTGTTGAAATATACATTTTAGGTACATCCGGTTTTTTTCAAAGATAATTTCATGAAAGATGCCAATACAAATGTTAAATTAATATGTTGCTTTTCAATTGCTCTCCAAGAACCAACTAACGACAAAATAAAACCTTAAAAAAGAATGTCCTAATGAAAGGTTGTTATGCATCCCAAATAAGTGCAAAGTTGGCCAAATATCTAGCTTAAACGTTCACTCCTAAAATACCCTTTATTCCTCATGTATCATTCTTTGATAGTACATGAAAACATATCCAATAACACGCCACTGAAACTTATCACTTCCAACGCATAAAACCCAGTATATTGTCAGCTAACATAGTTCCAACTTATGTAAAGTATGCAGCTGACGGTACTTTTTTCATTAAACATTTATTATCCAAATAAATGTTTGGTGAACTAACACGCGAAGGAGATTACGAAACTCTTAATGATTTAAGAATATTCTCTTTTACTGTTTAAAGACAAAGTCGTATGCTTGCGGAGGAATGTCGCAGTTTAGGCTGTATTCAAATATTAGTTTTCTTGTTGTCATTCAAGTTTCTGAAGGAATGTGCTCGGCGTTCTTTCGATAATATCCACGACCATCATTATTCTCATTATTCAAGCAGGTGTGTTCAAATCTCAAAATTAATTAAAATAATTTATTGAAAACTAAATGTTTAATTGCCTGAACTGATATTGTTTTTATAAATTAATAAGTATTAGTTTCCTGTTCAAAACGCAATCGTAAATAATTGTCATCAGTGTACGGAGACAATCCCTTCACATTATTTCTTGTCTTAGTAGTTGCGCTTTAGTTAGAAAAAATAAACAGTTGATTTAATATTTATTTCATTATAAGCAGCATTTTGCGGATGAAAGTTTGCTTTCCTTTACAGGTGTTTAATTTTGCTTGTCACATCTCCGAGACAATTAATGCTGAAACTGATTTCCATTTCACCACCACGTCTCTCACATAAAGTGAGAGTTATTATCTATGAGCCTACAATTAACACTTCAAGTCAAAACAAGAAAAAACATACATCAACCCATTGATATATGCAGCTAACCGATATCTCTCTAACCAAATTGCAACTTATATAGAATACGCAACCTTCTTGAATTTCTAAACAATAGTTTCTATAAAGAGAAAGACAACATGAGAAGAAGTTGAAGGATAAAAATTTGCTGTTTAAAATGTCTCATGTGAGCTCCTTCCAGCAGGCCGAAATTAATCAAGCAGCTAGTTATAAATATGCACTACGAATAAATAATCTGCACCGTGTCCGGAACTTATATGCATTTTCTAGGACCAAAAATATCTCAAAAGCTCACTTGCGAGCCTCAGAACATCCCAAAAATGTTGCACCCAACTGGACCATAAAGCTCTCGAGTGGCAAGAGTCTTGGGCAAAGCTTCCGAATGAGGACAAAAGTAAGTCCTCCAAACTCGCCAGCTTTCAAAACGTGAACTTCCTGATTCACAAATAAACAGTAGAAAAGACAAAATTTTACCGAATCAGCAAAAAAACTAACAGAGGCCCACATTAGAGATGCCCCTTGGTATGCTTTGCTAGCAGCAAAAATTCCTTAAACTAGCCGGAAATACCAACACTATTAACTAGTGTTCAGAACATTACGGCCAAAATCTAAGTTCCACCATAAATAAAAAATCTAAAGAAACAAACTGCCATGAGAGAAGATTGATAATGTAAAAGAAGGAACGTGAAAAAACCAAATTAAAACGTTACAGTTGAACCAAAGCTCTAAAAATATTCTGGAAAAGTAGAATGAGAAACAAACGAGCGATACATGTGAGTCGGAAAGGAGAAGAGAGAAAACCCGTCTTAAGGACACTGGCATAAAACAAATCAATAAGCATGAAAAATAACTAAAAAATTACAAACATAGAAAGTAACAGCTAATGAAGTAGCACAAAAACTGCTACTGAACGGGAAAATTAAAATTCATTTCTGGAATAGCAAAACTGGAAGAAACCTGTCGCACTTCAGCAGATCGTAAACCTTTATTCAACTAAATCTGCTTATTTTCCTGACAGCCTGAACATAAATTCGTTGATGTACGTTTCGAATATGGACGTGGCCTGTTGAGAGATCAAAATGCCAATTTTTAGACCGTGTTTATTCAAGATACGGAACAATTCAAGACATCATTATCTGGATCATGCTAAAAATAATTAGACCCCTGATGAAACATTTCTTAAAATGCGCCTTGAAGATACAAGACGATATAAACAAGTTCACATATTCGAAAATAACAACATTATATAACTAAGCTGCTTTGTTTAGACAAACTGTTCTAAATGACTGCATCCAGCTGTACAGCAAATATCGAATTTCTTTGTAAAATCTCCTACCGACCAAACCTTTCTTCAATCATATATAAAATGGTTCTATTATATGCTACCTGTTGGCATTTTTTTAAACACAAACATTTGATAGAAGATCGTGATAAACCCAAAATTTGTTTCGGGAAGACTGGGTTCATACGCCATCAAGAGAAACAAAGACCGATTAATAAAGTTGGAAAATGACAGGGACGCAAAGTTAATAACGAAGAAGTAAATGCAGTTATTAGTCGCGTAAGTAATATTAATCAATTTCTCACCGTCACGGCTCATTTAATTCTAATGTTTATTCTTAGATAATTGTTAATCAATCAACATCTACGCCACAAATAACGGCATAAGCAAACATTCCTTCCTTAAACAAAGTAAACTATAGGCAATTCACAATTGAGGCTCAAAAAATTAAGGAAACTCAAAAAAGCGGCAACTTGCTTCTTGGTAGTTGAGTAGTGGTTACCAGTATAGGAAAACAACAACATTCTACACCAATTAGCTTGGACGGGGGAGAGCAAATGTTCTAACCTGTGGAGTCTTCAATAGCTATAAAGAACATGTTAGGCATTTACAAAACCTGAGAGCTTAAAAAAGAAGTTACAAGTGAAATTTAGTGTAAATGTGTGGGCAGGATTTACAAATAACACGCTGTTTTCCATTTGAAAGCCATTTAAGTTCTCAACGTAACTTGCAAGTTTTAAATAACGTTTATAACGCTCGGCACGTTATCTGATTTTTCTTTTTAGTATGACGATGCTCCCCCACATAATGAGAGTGAAGAAATGTTTGACAATGTTCGAAAATAGTTGAATAATAAATGAATCGGAAACCAAAGTAGTGCAGAATAGACAACAAGTTCACCAAACTCATTTAGTTCAGATTTATCTTGCTTTCAGTTTTAATAAAGCTTTCTGTTACAAAACTAATGTATCAACTTTTTGAAGTTTATTAGACGATAATGTTTATTTATCAATAGAAACATCCCGGTACGCATCAATTGGTATAAGGCAGAGTTTCTTTAAACGATCTAAATATTCAAGCAAGTTGCAAGAATGCCAAGAATACCAACGAAGAAGTTTGTTTGATGTTCGGAAACTTAATGAAGATAGATGATCAAAAATGGTTAATAGAGAAGTTTAAGAGTTGTCCGCAACGAAACTCTGACTTAATTTTTTGGGGTTTTGGGGTAAGCTTTTCAAATCACTTGAATCGCAAAAACATTTCGGCACAAAAATTGAATGGGTAGCAAACCTAATGTTGTTGTAAACTGTTAATTTAGTACATCGCCAGAATCCAGAAGGATTGCTAATAATTATTTGGTGATAACTTAGAGCTGCATCATTCCTAAGGTGCGTACTATTAAAACCAGGAAACCATGTGTAAGCATGCTGTTTGTATTCTTACCTAGTGTTTGCTTCTGGAATAATATCATCCACCACGACATAAATCATGGCCCCTGCTGCAAAAGATAGGGCATAAGGCAAAGCAGGTTGGGCCATGCTAACGGCAACCGCTCCCAAAACACCAAAAATAGGTTCAACCATTCCACTCAACTGTCCATACCTGTAAGAAAAAAAAACATAAGTAAACGAAAGACTTGAACTATTAATTTCTAAAATTAGATCCTCAGGTTCTGAGCTGAAACTAAAAATATAAGAAATACATGCTGGTAAAAAGAGATGTATTTTCATCAATTACTCATTCTGCTAGGATAATGTTTCTTAAGGCTAAAAGTACATTCTCAGGGTATGTAGAATAATTCTAAGAACAGTGAAAAATGTCCAACAAATGGTTAACTATTTAAAATGAAATATTTAGTTCAATAATAGTGGGTATAACAAAGTTATAATCAACTTCAAGACGAGTCAAGATAAAGATTAACTTTATAAATAACTATACAGCATCCCTTGTAAATTTCAAACTTGTCTAAAAACTTCATGTTATCTCTTACTTTAATAAACATTAATACACCCTACTAAAATTAGACCTTGTCATATTTAGTAAAAAATGTGGACGGTACGAGTAAAAAATATGGCCATAAAGTCAGATGATCTTAAACTCACATGAACACGAGTCTATACAAAAGAAAAAATTCGAACAAAAGTCAACAGAGTGCTTATAATTGTGTATCTGCTGCTGATCCAATCACATTACCAAAACATAAAACAAAAAATAGTAAAATGATAATCAAATGAAAAATATCTCCTAAAGTTTCTTGTTGATGATAATATGCAGTGTATTTAGAGTTTCTTAGCAAAAAAAAACATTACGTTTATTCAAGGTGTTTCCTACATCTCTTGCATCAATTAATCCTTCCGTCATATAATAGCCTGATAATATCGCCATATATCTAATCTGATTTACAAAAAAACTGCTTTCTCAACTTACAATCAGAAAAATGTTCGAATTTGCAATGACGAACGGGTTTACCAACGGAGAGTTAAGATAAAAGGCATTAATACGTAAGAGGTAAAATGTAAAGCGGAAAATGTATATATTTTAATTACTGCCTAAAATGAGCAAGTAGGGTAGTGACAAAAAGATGAACAGTTTCTTAATTTTTACCTAATGACTATCTTTTCACTTGAAAGGTCGGGTGCATCAGTATATATAAAACAATACTAAATATTATCAAGAGGTTGTGATTCATGCAGATGATATAAATTTCGACTAATTTCTATAGGTGCAAAGCATCGAAGAAATATCAACACGTATCAAGGAAAAAAACACAAGCAGCAGGACAGAGAGTGTATTCCAGCAGAAGAAAGCTGCTAAAAAAGGTCCCAGTATTAAGACAGTCGTGTCTTTGAAGTACAATAAAATGCGGTATTTCTGAAGAAACAGTTAATATTATTACATAGGAAAATATTAATTATATGGGCACGTCATGTAATTAAGACCCAGCCTGCACAATCAGTGTTAGTTATTATCGATCAGTTCATAAGATTTGAGATTTATGGAAGTCCCATCAACGAATATGAGCCATAGTTTTATTTTGATTATTCCTAAGTACTTAAGTATTGTTCTTTACAGATATTCGCAACTACTGATGAGAAAGACAATCCCATTGAAATGCCGACATCCTGCTTGTAAAAATGTAATTTGAAAGTAAGAATTACGTAGGCAGCATTCCAATAGTTCTATTACGCCGCTCAGTAGATTTAGCGTCCTTCTTGAAAGGGAATTGTCTTTGCTGAAAGCAAGCAACATCACATTTGACTACAATAAATGCAACAAGGAACAAGCGCCGATTGTTTAATGAAAAACAACATGAAGTGGAGGATGTTCAGAATTTTCCTTTTTTGGACTAAATCTTGCGTTCGCTGAAGATGCTTTTGCCGATCATAATTATGACGCATTGAGCAATAGATTTAGATCTAGTAGGTAGATTTGCAACATTTGGAATGATTGACTGTAATAGAGCTCAGATATTTTAGTTATTTTTATAGCTGAAAATAGTTCAAGCTATTTAACAAATCTGATCAGATCAAATATAGATGAGTTTACTTTAGATATCAGAAAGTGCTTACGTTATAGCTGAATATTTTCAATATTAACTTAATTAGACTTGATATACATACATTTCAATAAAAACGTATCTGTTGTATCAGAACGTGGCTTTTAGCTAACATCAAATTACGACAAAAAAGTTTACCGCTGTTACTTGACCGCTTACTTTTCGTTCTTGCAACGCAAAATGCACATTATGAAGCTAATTTGCCAATAAAATCAATTAGTATTGGTTAGCGGAGAAAACTTCTTGTTCCATATGCACGAATTTCAGTTTTCTTCAAAAGAATCTAAAATTGCCTGATCCAATTACAATCGGCATTACTAATTTTAAAATGCCACACTAATTAGCACCAATATGGGTAATATTTCCCAATAAAAAAATTATTATTATTATTTACCGTCTTTTAACAAAGCCGCAAGAAAAACAATTTTACAATAAATGCGGTTTCAAATGCAACAAAGGTGACGCAATTATCGAAAGGAGACACAAATGGAATGAGAACGGCCTTGCAGGGTCGTGAGCAGGTGCATGATTAATAATTGTTAACGTACAGTATTAAAATATCTAGTAAAATTATAGGAAGAAAAATCACGCTGCAGGCAAGCCCAGCCACGTAAGGAGCTTGGAATGTAACGTTTTTTGCTCAATTAAGAGCGGTTTATTTGAAAAGATTGCTTAATTTTGGCTCACGCGTTTTGGATCACAATTTTTATATTCCTGATGCTCAAATCAATGTTGCATAAACACAAAAACAACTTTGGAAATTTCTGTTCAATTTTCACAGTTTGTTTCAAAACAGGACAGAGATAGGACAGTTTAAAAACTTCTGAGCCATATCTTCATATAGAGGAATATGAAATTAACATTCTTATATAGAAACCGGATTAACATCAGGAAGAAACATTGTTTTTAAATTCATATTCAAACAAACTCAAAAGCTTCTCCGAAAGGAAACATTAGCATAAGCCTTAGTGCAATTCGGTTGGTAACAATTCTTAAATGTTGAAAACTGATTTCCCAAACTAAGAAATTGAAAATAGGTAAATAAAGTACAGTGAAACGTCTTATTATGTACGGACACCTCATTTAAACGCACAAATTTACTGAATCAAAGTCTTTAACTACCATTTTATATGTAAAATAAACCCTCATAACCGGATAGTCTAATAAACGGACGCGGACACTATTTTGGTGCCCAACGCAAGTAGAAATCTCTCTCAACGGGACACGAGACCTCTGCTAACTGGACGTCTTTGTTCCGTGCCGGAACCTTCAACACGGATGAGAAAATATATTTTTTTAAAGTGAAAGACTTAAAATTGATAAATTGATTTGTGATTGGTTCACGCATGTTCTAAGTCAAAACATTCCCATATCTGAACGTTCAACAATCAAGTAGAAACTTCCATTCTTACTCCTTGGGTATCAGCCAGAAGATGTCAGCTAAAGCCGATCAGACAAGTATTTTCTCCCGGGCTTTACCAGATAAAACTCTTACGTTTTAAAAACGAGAAATGTGCAGGGGGAAAATATCTAAAGAAATACTCTCTATTTTGTTTTGCGCTAATAAAGGCCGGCCTGAAAAAAGAGCTGCTTATGATTGGAAAAGCAGCTAGACCAAGAGCATTCAAAAGTGTATCGTAACGAAAAATTAACTTGCGACTTGGAGGTTTAACCAAAAAGCATGGTTGACCCAAGATCTTATGACTGAATGGTTATTACAATTTGACAGAAAGATGGTGAGACGAAAACGAAAAATGTTATTGTTGTTGGACAACGCAGGGTCTCATCCTCATGAGGTAATACTTCAAAACATAATCAAGGCATCACAGAAATTTAAAATTATTTTATCGCGGAGTAATATTAATATCCATTATTAATTGATGACGTTAAAGTCGAAAAAATTTCGAAGCACTTTATTTTATTACAACTGCTTGGAACAAGGTATCCACTATCTCTAAACTTGGGAAGCGGAAGAAATCGAGTCGGACGACGAAATAATGTTTGAAAGCACAGGTGAAATTATTGCTTATTGTGGAGCGTTGAAGACAGTTACTCCTTAAAAACATGTAAGGAGGATTACATTTTCTCTGAATATTTGAAAAACTTTGAAGATCACTTTCAGAGATGTTCTTTAAAACAAACAAATGTAAAAGTTGCGTCAATTTAGGATATTAGATTTTGTAAATAAGTATACATTCATTCATACATTTTTAACCAAACTTTTTAAACTTTTTGTGAGTTTAATAAGTGTTTGAGGCATTTTGATTTTATGTACCTACTTATCTACATAATATTAGTTATTGTTATAAGCCATACAACTTTTAATTATTTTTTTATTTCTCTATTAAGCAGACACATTTAGTAGAACCATGAGTGTCCAGTTATAAGAGTATTTTTTACCTTTTCCTCCAAATAGGTACATTATGTCCGACTATGTGTTAGTTCCCAATAAATATTTGGTTTATAAGATCACCATGAAATATTAACTCATGAAATATTTCATAAGCTAGTATTGTTTTGCTAATCTACGTCTAAATACGCAAGACGAATAAAATAATCATTTCAATGCAATCTACAAATTATAGTAAATGATAAAGGCCAGCATAAGATTTAGATTAATTAATAGAAATCCCTAGTGGTCGCCATTTAATTTTTAAACTACAATGTAAACCAATTACAACGTGTACTCGCATTTCATAGAAACAAACAAAACACGTGTGTTATCACCATTGCCGTTGATAAACGCAACAAGTTTGAATGGCATGTGACCTAAAATTCCTGGGTCAATGCCTTGTTCACAGGGCCGTAGGTTGTCAGATTTCTTTTATAGAAAAAACAACAGCAAATGCAATATTTGCAAAAAGAATGTTTCTTTTTGCAATGCGTCCAATTGTTGAATGGTTTATAGTGAATTGGAATATCTCGGATCAATCGATGAACTGAAGCATCGTGCAGCGATTAAACCCATCAATTTAATCACACTTTATTTAATTTAAGTTTAATCGGCTCTCAATATGAAACATTCAATTAGAAGAATAGTAGTACAGAAAACAGCAAAACAATAAGATTATACAATAAATCATTCATTCGAAGCTGGAATATACATTCATATTAACTGATTATAGCAATTGTCGCAATAAATATATTATTTGTTTTTCGATTTGTTACTAGTCATTAACCATTGATGTTGGCTGTTCTTCGAAATACTTTCATTTCCGCATTTTTAATAATTTTGAACCAGATAATTTGTAACCGAAAACAACAGCAGAAATGCAAATTGAATTCTGCGAAAATGCAGAAACCAACTCAAGTTGCTCCAATTTTATTTTTCATTCTATCATTGTCATGTATGCAAAAAAACTGTTGTTCTGCAGGTTGTCGCATGTTTAATACCTTCATAATAATTTTGGGTGGCATAAAAATAGATACACTACTTCGCATATAACCATTCCCCAGCGTGTAAGCTTTTATTGCTCATGAATGTATAGAACTAATAGCAAAATATCGAAATTTCTCAAAGAAATTGGGAGCTAATGCATATTGCAAACCCATAATGATGTAAATTTGAACTCGGACTTAAATAGCAAACCGCGTTTAATTTATACTAATTAAAAATATTATATAAAAGGAGCAGTAATTTTCATGAGAGCTTCATTATTTACTAATTAGGAAGATGAAAATACTTCACAAACATTAATCTTCTGGTTTGAAGAGACCCTTAAATACATTAATTTCAAGTTAATAGCATTTCTACGAATATTTGAATGAGAACATCAGTTTATATGCTAATTTATAAATTAGAAGCCAATTAAATGCATATGCAATGTGTACAAGGTCTTTAGTACGATTTTTTTCGTTCAAATATCAAAACACTTAACACAAAGGCACATACGGTTCTGTTCTTCGACAGTTGCCTGGCACACAGTAAAAATAATTCCTATACAAACACTCGTTCCATTTAAAATTTTAATATTTCTGGGCATTTAAACTTATCATTGATTTATGAATGGCCTGATAATTTCCCAGTCAACAAAACAAATTATTGAGGCCTAGATGTAGTGTCGAAACCCATTGTTTACATGTTTTCACATCGATGCCAGGAACTTTGTTCGATTCAGGTTGGTTGATATTGGTTTCAGCCAGGTTAGTGTGGTTCATTCGTACACCTTTGACGGCAAATGCGTATTTACTATGCATACATGATTAACCAGAATAAATGCATTAGTAAATAATTCAAAAAATGAACGACAAAAGTGGACTATTAAAAACAAACCAAATAACAATCATGTTCAATAAATGCAAAAAGACCACAACCAACTTTCCAACATGGAAAGAGGAATTATCTATAAACATTTTTTATCAAAAAAGTTGTTAAGTTACAGTCAGCCAGGCCAAGCAACCGAATCGATGGATTATTGCTATTTGAAAGGAGAAAAGGTGTTTGAAACATTGCGGGATTGGTTCTGAAGTAAAACAGTTAAGTTCAAAGTCAAACTAAAATAGTTAATAGAGCGGAAATGTATAAATTAAATTAAATAAAATAAAAAAATAAAATAAAATTTAAGTTATTTAATTAAGATTTACAAGACAGCAAAGTCATTTGATACAAGCAAGTAATACCAACTTCGAAGAAATAATTGAGAGACAAAAAGAAATAATTGAAAATATAATCAAGAAAACTATAAGGGGAAATACAATGAAACACAATCGCATACATGAAATACAATCAAACGCACCATAAGAAAATCGTAAAATGAAACTCCACAGACATGGAAATGGAAAAAATCAATTAAATAATGGAACCACACTGGAAAGGGAAAGAAAAAATAACACCAGAAACAGACAAATGAACAAAAAGGGCAGGTATTGAAATAAAATGTATTTCCAACAAGTTATAGCATAGAAAACGCAGCAAAATGAGACGCAAAATTGAATTAACATGATAGTAACTTACGCTAATGTAAATAATTAATAAACATTTCTGCTATTCCGTGTATAGTAAGATCGGGATGCAAACGAATAATTAATCAGAAATTGATGAGAAGAATGAATGTTGCAGACACGCTAGAAAAAACAGACAAAATAAAAACGCAGCCAAAGCTAAATTTTAATCAGCACTGTTTAAAATAGGAAAGCATTAGATTTGCAAAAACAAAATACCACAAGAGTATTTAACCAGGCAAGTTTACCTTAGGTGAAGTATAGCATTTCGTCTTAAACATAAGCAACTGAATATTGGAAATTAGCAGGTGAAGCTTATTTGTTTTTTGTATTTAATAAAGCATGAAAATTACGACGTTAGGATACAAATATTATTTGAAAAACATTGGATAGGGCAAGAAAGAATAAAGTTTATTTAAAACAACTCCCATCACTGATGGTAGGAGTAGAAATCTGCGATCTATGATCTATTATAATAATTTCAAGATTTTCAAAGATGCTTACAGAAATTAATTGAGCTCAAAACTCCTGCCACCTTATTTCTTGGTCTATATAAAACTTAATTCATTGAAGATTCCAATTTGATCAAAGTAATCAAAACGATGCATTTGAAACAACAGCATTTCTCCCTTTTCGCAAATAATTATTTAACCATTGTACTCACGGATTATTTCCCTATTGAAATAAAAACAACAATGCAAATCCACATGATTAATTTTCGCATTGGTCTGGACCTCGTAATTCTTCTTTATTATTTGCTTTATATTGGTTGCCATTTCATCTGACAGATTCATTTCGCTACGCCTCTTAAACTCCATGTAGCAGTGCATATCACATAAACTTAACAGCCTGTATCAATAAAATCGGAAACACAATGAAATATCGAATAACAATTACATTATCAGGTGTTGGAATTCAAACCATTTGAACAGTAAAAGTAGGAATTGTTAGGCAGAACAGGAACTACCAAAGTCAAGAACGGTTAAACAAAATGTAAGAAATGTTAACAGGAAAGATATGTCTTTAATTATGATGGAATGTAACCTTTGCAATATGACTAATGCCATGTGTTGTTTCAAATTAGTATAAATTTAAATTATCTTTATGATTCGATATTTAAAAAAAATTGTTTTCTGCTGGGATTAATTGCTAAACTTCTGTTACTCACCACAAGCTTTTCCATACGGAAAATCCAGCTGCATGAAGAGGTAGACTGACTGCTAAGCCTTCAGGGAAGTTTTGGATTCCAATACCAATTGCCAAATTTCTGAAAAATAATATAATGTATTACAGACAAACGTTTTAGTATTTTGCAGCTCAGTTAATGATTTTTATAGTTACATAAGTAAATAATCCACAGACAATTATTTACCTAAGAAATTCGTATATCTTATTAAAGTTGTTTCCTCTTGAACAATTTATATAAAATCTAAAGCAAAGCTGTTTCTCAAAGAAATGGAAGTTTTAAAAGCAAGGAAAAAATAATCAATCAAATATATTAAAAGCCAGAGGAAAATGTATTCATATTTAGTTCAGTGTGTCAACTGCAAATCTACATTATTCAACATTTTTTGATTCAGCAGTCAAAGTATCAAAAGATCAAGATACTTTTATGGTGCAAATACATTTTTGCGATACCGAGGGGATTAAAGACCCATAAATTATAAAATATTTGGTCAATCTATTAATATATGAATAATCTGACCGATGATGGATTGATAGTTTGCAAACGTTTGGGTATTTAATTAATGTTAATATAAACTACATACATAAAGGAACTTATTCACGTACTAGATACTAAAAATATATAAATAGAGACATTCTAAACAGTTGCTAAGGCATTTTGCAGCCATTCTGCCATCAGCAAATAATTCTAAGAATTAGTAATTATAATTGAAGAGTACTAATTTTTTAAATTATTGAATGCCTCGAACCTTGAATTAGCTAATTACATGTTATCTCCCTTCTGTCGACTTTTTAGAGTGCACATTTGTTAATTTGCATGCAAAAAGAAACAATTAACGTAACAGCATTACTATTTTAATGGACTGTTATGACTTGGGTCATTTACCCTCTGTTTCAATTTCGAATTTCTACTTTACACTATTTCCAGTTGAATCGCTGTTAAAACCATGAGTACACACACGTATGTTAGTAAAAACTTGAATGACTAAGCAAGTAAATATCAACAAATATCCGTAGCAAGTGCTTGGTATTTCCAGATTTATTATAAAAAATGGCAATATGTTTGGCATTCATTAATAAACAAATGTGAATTTTTGCTACCGAGCTCACAACAAAGTTGCGTGGGGCCCGTTCATTGAGGAAGGACGCTTCCTCAGGAAGTTAAGTTTAACCACAATATCCTTGTTTCGGGCTAGTAGCAAATTTTACGTTTTGATAAAAGCGTTAGACGCATTTGAAACCAAAGGAAGAATCGTGAAATGTGAGAATTAAACTTGATAATAGATTCTTGAAAGTTATTGTTCACAAAGTAATAGAGTTAGCCAATCATTCAAAGTCAACTTTGTTGAAGAAGATTAATCGGAAAATACGTATAAAAAGTAGAAGTTACATGTTCAGTTGTCCGAACAAGAAATTGATTGTATTGAAGATAAACAAAATAACACTATTTTATAACTTGAAAAGCATTTTAAAGCTAACAACGGAAAATACGAAAACATTGCAATAAAAAAATAGCTCAAGTTACTCGATTCTAAAGAAACTGAGCAGTCAGATTCAGAAAGTAATAAACAAACATGCGAAGAAAGGAGATGAAAAGATAACAACAAAGCTAATATATTTAAATTGCGAAAGCTTTCGAAAGCCAATAAAACTTCAAATATAAAATATAAATAAAATAAGCCAATACAAAATTAAAAAACTAGATCAGAACAGATAAGATACATCTTACTGTAAAATAATGAGAATTATTATAAACTGTAACGCACTTACACCATACTGATGAAAAGTAAACCCGATAATCAGGTTCCGTAAAAATCTACAAAGAGCAGATATTTTTTCAGGTTTTATAGAAAAATCAAACGTTCAGTATAACCGTTATTAGCAATACAAGCAGCATTAGCAATATAAAAGCAACTGAGAGGGTCAAAACTTATGGTTGTCTAAGAATACTTTAAAATATTTCTAGAAACCCACTCAATTTGATGAAGGGCTTGGCGTAAAAAGCCCTGTTAACAAAACATAAAATGAAAAAAGAAACGAAAATTTTAGAGTCCGAAAGCGAAAATTGTGGCAAAGACGGTCGAGATAAAAACATGAAATAAAACCAAATATGTAGGTATTTTTATTGAAGCAACTACACAGTGTATCAAAAAATGCACTACAAATGCAGGAATTTTACGTAAATTGATAGAAATTTGAAAAAAAAATTAAAATTGATGTAAAAAAAATAAAAACAACAGTTTATATCAAACTAGCCAAGCCAATATAAAAACGAATGTAAAACATTCAATTAACAATTGGGCCAACCGTAGTAGAAAAAAGAGCGAAATAGAGAGTAAGTTTAGCCTACAAAAGTTAGACGTTCGGGCGACATTTTTTAACGAATTTTCCCTAATTAAGTGCCTCATTAATACCTCAAGCCACGTTATGGTCAAGCTACATCATATAACTAATGATAATTTTGGAAGCACATAACATGCGGTAAAAAAGACGAAAAAAGCCATAAACTTAAAGCACTGGATCGTTCATATTTCGGTGCATATAATATGGCACTTCCGGCATTATACTTTATAATTTGGTTCTTTAAGCAAATTAAATCTTTATTGCGTGTTTAAAAAAGTTTAAAGGTACATTAAAGTGCGTGCGTGCGTTGGCACTGGCTGGGAACCATTAGGTAGGTACCGATGCTTTTCGTAAACAGCATATTTAGGTTGATTCACACTGGCCTTTAACTTGCCAAGTATTCTCACGATTTATTGCTAATAGATACAAAATTTTATGGTTATATTGTGGCATTTATATTTAACATGTGATTTATATTTTAAATTATTTTACAGATTCCCAGCAATTACGAATCTGAGGTCTCACAATTTTTTAAAATTTGATTGAATAAATTTAATTTATTGCTATTATCATAAAAATGTTTGGAATTTGTAGTTAACATGTGATTTATGCTTACTTAATTTTTTTCTGCCTAAATCCAGGAATTTTGAGGCTAAAATTTCGTTTCTTCTTAGACTGAATTAAACACTGGAAATACGATAACAATGTTTAGACGACCTCATATTTAATATAGCCGTTGTATCCATCAAGAAACTGGAAGTGTGTGCATAACTTAATTCAAATTTCCAAAGTAAATGAGCTTTTGACAAAAACAGCTACTTAACAGCTACCTTCACCGTAACAGAGGTATAAATAAGATGTCTCAATCATGTCCTCTCGGAAGTCATTATCCTTTAAGCCGCCGGCATAAATCTTGATGTACTGTAATGGGACAAAATTAAACGGAGGGTTATCAAGAGGAAGAAGCATTTTGTTGTAGACCTAACCTATTAGAAGTAAATTACATTTAAATACACGACGACTTGACCCATAATAGAAATGACTCTTAACAGAAAAAATTTTAGGAACTGGCTTAAGAGCAGCGTTAAGAACATTTCAGTTATTTACATGAAGGCGGGTATATGAAATATTTTGAGATTTTGAATAGTTGCCCTTAAAAAAACAAGATGCAAGATTCAAAATAAAATACTTATCGATTTTATTTATGTTTAATTAACTAATTAATGTACTTAAATTATATTAAGCTATCGTAAATAGATGTATCCTCCTCGTTATTCAGTTTGTATTGCCAATTATTGCATCATTTCTTTTAATTTTAAACAGATGGGGGTTTTAATCTATTGATTATCACCGGAAAGCGTAGGCAGTGTTTTACGTTAAAAAAAAATATTAAATTGCCTTCTGAAATTGAATATATTTTTCGTAACCCTCAAAGGTCTATTCTGTGATAATTATCAAGAATGGTTTGATGAAAAATAAGTCACAATTTTAGTGTGCTTAATCTTAGAGATGTCCAAAGCGCAGATTTCAAAAATTTAATTTAAAAAAAGTAAATGTAAAAGTAAAAATGTACATTATTGCATCACATAAATAAGACAATCGAGATAAATACATTTTTATTAAACTTTGACTTGATGTCAATAAGGTTGAGTTTGGTTTTGAGGTATTTAACAAGACGTGCAACCATTAATAGGAAGAAGCAATATAAATAAAAAAAATGTGAGAAACAGCAGCTTTATAAAAATATATAAAATGTGTCATAAAAGAACAGCAGCAAAACAAGCAGGAAGATTCAGCTTTTCTATGCGATGTCGGCTTAATGTGTTTCTATTGGAAAAGTTGGATTTGACAAATATGGCATATAGCATTATCCGCAATCCGAAATAAATATAATTATAATCTTAAATACTCAAATATTAAATCATCCTTTTTACGATAAACCTATTTTTCTTTGACTTCATTATTTACATAATGAGAGTCCTCATTCAAAACTATTTCGCTCATCGCTATATATTTTTCAAAAAATTGTTAGAGAATTGATCAGTATGCTGTTTGAGAATATGAGAAGTAAAATAACTTGAAATTCAACACAGTAATCGAATCTAATTAAGAGCCCCTAATAGTAATTGATATTAGCACTAAGTGCAGGTAAAACAATTGCAGATAATTAAGAGAAAGTTTGGGGCTTATATTGTTTTATATACATATACAATCAGACAAGCTAATCCAAATGTTAGTCAATGTGGAAAACCTAAAAAAATCGGATGATCAAAGTTTAAAAGAAAAAATTGGTTTACCATTCCCAGAAATTCTAAAATAATTAAAACAATTTAAGTACTCATATTTTAGTAACGTTCAAGCAAAATGCTTGACAACAACCATTAATATTTCCAACTCTTGCAACTGTAGACATTATAAGACTTATTTAAAATCGTCTTGCACACGTTGATCATCATAAGTGGAAAATGCACCGAAGCAGTTATATACCTCTATATCACCACGTCCATATGAAATCGCCGACTAAGCCAATTCTTGTTTTAGCTTGAACTCGGACAAAGTAATTCAGCAAATAGTGTATAAATATCTTTCTAGGTATTATGTCAGAGAACAATTCCCTTATGCAAATGACATGACCGCGTTAATATCCTGTTGCATATTTTCACACAGTTATTCCCGTTTCACGAGATGGCCTAAAATAATTTACATTGGCGTTCTTGAACTAAGCACATAACTGTCGTT